CAAATGCCACTAAAATTACGAGCAATATAAAATATAAAAAATGTATATCATTCGAGCATGAAAACACGAAATTCATCTAACCGCCATTTAAAAAGTCAGTTCTTGTCTTACAGAAAACGACGCATCTGTGTTACAGTAAATTGTTGGTTAATGTTGTTTAAGGAAGTAATCATTGTTTATTCTCTTAGTTATACGAAATCCATAAATACACTCTGTGAGAAATTGGATAGTGTTACTGAATGCTAAAGCACGTGGTACATTGGGTAACTACAATGCTTTAAAGGATTGAAGTTTATGGTTATCGAGGCTGGCTATATCCGTTTTACAAACTTATATTTCTCAAAAGTTAATGGAAGATTAAAGCTTAATTGTTCAATAACAAACTGTATTCCTAATCTTCTGTTGACAGTTTAGGTTACGTACGCCTTTAGGACTCTTTTGCGTTCTTAAGGTCACGAGTTAATCTTTTTGAACGTAAATTTAGTTTAGCAGCAGAGGAAAAGAACTGCTGGTGAAAAAGTCACTAGAGCACCTCTAAATCAAATTACATAATCCTTCTGATGTATGGTAGCAACACTGCCGAGGCTGCTGGGGGAATTCTATTATATTCTTCCCACAGTAAAGATTAGCTCCAGTTTCTTATAAAGTGGAAGTACATTAGCGTAGGATACACTCCCTATATTTATAACACAATTTTATTGTAAAGAATAATGCAGATAATTTATTTTGTGTGACATACGCAAAAATAATTTTATAAGTTTATTCTTAAGATAGTGTAGTTGCGTCATATTGTGACTTATTAAATTAAAATTAAATTATTTGGTTATTCCGTCAAATCACAATGTATTTAAAATAAGATAATTAAAATAATTAAAATATAATTCTGTGTTCCATATCGAGACGGAGATTACACCCCCCCACCACCACCACCCATTCGCCAAGATCATAGCATCGCCGTGTAAACTGCTGTTTCCTAACTGGCAGAATATTTGTCAGCACTGCTGATAGAACAAGCTAAGCTACAAACGCAAATTATGCCCCGCACACAGGGTAAAACCGTCAGAATGGAGTGAATCTTGGTTTAACCCTTTAAAATCAAGGCTCGTCTAAATAATATCTAATAATTCAGGCCTTACATCAAAGAAAAGACCATTCGAATGACGTTCAAGGAAATAATCCCTGTTTATAATGCAAAACCATAAATCAGATGTATATTTATTTCTTATTAAATCAGGTGCTACATTTAGTTATCAATAGATTTTAAAGGCTTAAAAACGTCCTTGAATTTAATGCCTACATTTTACCGTGGCCGTTAATTAATTTATCATAGCTCTCGAACATTTATCATTTAAAATTAAATTATTTGGTTATTCCGTCAAATCACAATGTATTTAAAATAAGATAATTAAAATAATTAAAATATCATTCTGTGTTCCATATCGAATAATCGATTTACAATTGGATATGGAACACAGAATGATATTTTAATTATTTTAATTATCTTATTTTAAATACATTGTGATTTGACGGAATAACCAAATAATTTAATTTTAAGTTTATTCTGTCAAAGATCTAACAGAACTCTATGCATTGCTTTCCACTACGTTCAACACATTGGTAACACTATTGGGCCTTTAATCCCATTAAGATAGTTTTTAAAAAATAAATTATAGACTGTTAATTATTTTATTTAATAACGATTCACAATTGGAAGACTTTACGTTCAAACGTTTAATATGACGGTACATGATTAATTTAAAGGGATGTGAAAGGAAGGGATTGTGATTTATTTCAAGTTACTGTCCAAGCATTCCACTAAAATAAATGGGCAAGGCCGCGTTCAAATTCAATCAGGATGTGAGATGCAAGGTCCTTACGGCGGTGAACATAACGATGTCACTCTGGGTTGAGAATGAAGGTGGAGACAATATACGTCTTTCTGTGAAATGCTGACATCTACCTACGAGTCCATAAGGTGTTCGGTTAGGATGGCCAGTTTCCGAACACAGAATCAAATCCTGGACCTTCTAAATAATACAAATAAACCACACAGTTGCGAAGTACTGCGAGAAATTAGAAATTTAAAACTTTATTTGTCCCTGGGCTATTTAGAAAGATTTCTACAACTGCGTTCTTAAAAAGCGTCGAAAAGGTAACTAATATAAAATACGAAATGGAAAGAAATAATGATGGTATATTTTACGCAGTGCCAGAGAATTTGCCTGCAGGGACTTAAAAATAAAAATATTACAAAAATTGCAAACATGATAGTGAACTTCAAGCTAATAAAGAAACCTGAAACTTACTATACGCCAAACAGGAGTCGTAAACATTCAACTGCATTTTTCAATGTTGAACATTATTTTTTTCTTAAATTATTTAATGACACTATTTCAACTTTATTTGTCCAAATAGGCACACAGAATAGTTGTAAAAGGTATATTTGGAAGGATGTGCAACAAGATATAGTTACATGTTTTGTTGTATATCGTCCCAGAATTTGCCTGTAAGGACTGTTGGAAGCCATGAAAACTTTCAGGACTGACAGACAGACAACCTTCGAGTCTAAAATCGACGGCAGGATTTTCTGAATGCGAATCAAGAGTGTTAAGACAGTCGAAGAAGGTTACGTGGTGATGCCAATTGAATCAGTAACTAGGATGCAGACATTGTATCATACACGGCTATGTACGAGAGATACACCAACATTAATTTCTATTTTTATTGCTGATAGGGTTAGTTGCATGCATCGAATGTATGACGACATTTACTTAGGAAGCAACACTTCTCGCACTCACGCGTATTTGAGACTCATTTGAAAACAGAAACAGTCAGGGGTTATTACGGTCCTATTCGTTTCATATGGAAGCACACAGATTGGATTTCATACATGAGAAACTGTAAACTCGTGCATGAACTTCAGAGGAGTGTGACTGGCACTCAGTCAAATTAGTTCATTCCAAGAGAAACGTACATCTGACAACACTGTTGATACAAAGTTTGAGGGATACAGAGTGAATTAAAGTATCTTATATGTTTATGTCTTGACATCGTAATATAGCTTCGAAGTTAGTGCCTCGTGAACAAGATGTTGAGAATTTACATTCAGGCACATTGGGGGTGACGATTTTGATTCTATAAATTTTTGTTTACCGAACGAATTTAACTACTTCACTGATATCACTTAGTTCAAAACTTCAGTTAGCACTTGTTGATATTGTCATCGTTTTTGAAGGAGTCTCTGAAATGTTTCGGTAAATGAAGAGTACTGTGCCCAGACTTCTCGACCAAATAGATTATAAGTTAATCTATCAGCAGATCCGCAAGAATCTCCTGGGTAGCTACTGTAGTTTTTATTCTCAAGGAGAGCGGAAACATTAAAATACTGTAAACGTACAACAGGGTTCAGACGTTGAGTAATATTTAAGATCTTGTGTTAAACTTAATATGGCGACGACAGAGGTTCGTAGGTTTCCCTCAATAGACAGGTCTGAGGTGGGAATCTCTTTCTGCCATTTTATGTTGGTGGATTAAACATTTTCACCATATCATCCAGTGTCCCACATATGAATAAATATTTAGTTTCTTCTGTATGAGATGATAAAGTTGCGTCATGTGTGATAAATATATATTTGTTTAAATCTTGTCAGTCTAATCACAATAAAATTTCTATTAAATATTAAAATATTACTATAATTAACATTTAAATATTTAAAATTGTTCTGTATGTACGTCGTGCTTAACATGATTTTGTGTGGGTGAACGTTTTGTTGTTGTTTTTGTATCATCCTGTAAAGTAAATAATATAAAGACTAAATGAATATTAATAAATTAGAAATAGAAAATAAAATAATATATTGATAATTTAATTTTGAAACATACCAGAAATGAAGATGTGTATATCCTTGTTTTCAGTTGGTTTTCTTCCGACAAATGAAACAATTCATATTTGATTTGATTTCCGCTGTTTTGACTTTTTCAAATATTTACGACCTTCCTATGCAAAAGTTCAGTTTTTTACTTCCGTATAAAAACGTTCAAAATGTAATTACATAAAATTCGCAGAACAGCGCAACTCTACTCTTCTACATTTATAGTTGCCTGATTATGATAATGTAATATTTATTTAATTTCAGACTAGACTTAATTATCTGTAACGAAAATATATTTTAAAATTATTGTATTTCCCCCATTCTTATTCCATATACTTTGTAATTTATTGCTATTTACTCGAGAATTACTTGCATAGAGTCCAATACGACATTTTACAAGGCGAGTGTTTAATGATTTAAAATTTTTTGCTATGCAATCCCTCATAACCTATTACAGACCTTGTACTGATCTTTTTATGAACACTTTATAATGTAAATTAGCATTCCGCATTATAAGTTTTGCATTAACTGAGAAAGAGCCAGTTGCTGGTTTGAATTTATACAGTCTTGGTAACAGCATTGCATGGAGTACAGCCACATTCAGAAATTAAGGTGTGGAACAAGGAATATATTGAAGGAAGAAAAAAATAAATAAAAGAGGAAAAGAGGAAAAGAAGGAAGGAATAAAATCTGGTGCAGTACAAAATGAAGACTGATATTTTCAACTAAGAGTATATAATGGCTGTTGTGCGTGACTGCATAACAACAAATATTCATCCCGTATGGTCCGAGCTACAGACAGAGTCATTAAATAAGCAACATATAGATAAATAAACACATTTAAGCACTATAAGCCGGGATTTTCTGTAATGGACATTTTATATTTAAACGCCATTTTGATAACTATACATCATGTTATATCCACATGATACTTTTTGGTTCAATTTCCACACGGACGTTTTTTTATAAGTGCCGATCAATAAGACAATAATTATCGAATATATGGACAGTGTATCAGAGATCTCATGCCTGCCATCTTTCGGAGAGCCGATTTATTACTGGTGGCGGAGTAGTCAGGCGCGAATCGATATCAGCGTACATCAGAGGACCGACTGTTACCTCCTCTCAGTTTCCCCTGACTTCGTGAAGTCTGCAAACCGCACCGCGTATCCCATTCGTTGGGAGAAAAAAGAATAAATCGCAGAAGACGTGAAGGACACACACGCGGTGGTGTTCGGCTTGTTGTAAATTGAGCTCTGCACTTCCTGTGTCTTCGTAAACCATGGTGAGTACAATTCAAAATCAGTGATACATGTTAGTACAACCTTTAAATGCGACAGATTCTTCAATTCATTAACCGGACAACAGTACACCATATATTAATCTTATTACTTACTGACTCCATGGAACAGAGTTTTCTTCTAAAGCTCATAGTCGCTTAGCTAGTCAAGATTTGTCCGCCTTTTATTAAGCACAAATGTTCATTTCGCCACTGCACGCTATAGTGAGTGAGATGAATCTGATCTGCATTATCGAAACCAATTTCGTTTACAACCATTTTAATAATATAAAATATTATTTGAACACTTTTATATTATTAATGACAGACGATGGGACAAAACCTCGGTCGCCCGTTAAACACCGAGGTTACTGTGTCAACAATCATTATTAACAATCAATAATTTTGCATTTTTACACATTATATTTATGGTTGTAATTCTCAAAGTAAATATCACTTATTTACCTTAACATCATTAATTAAATTATCTTTAAGATGATAATGTTGCGTCATTATTGTGTTGAATATATACTTGCTCTAATGTAAATCGAAATAGTCGATAGAGAACATCATTTTAATATATTTTAAATATTCAAATGTTAATTGTAATAATATTTTAATATTTTAACATCTAATAATAATATTTTATTGTGATTTGACTGATAAAATTGAGCAAGTATAAATTATCTTTGTAATGAGACGGTCCTGTTTCCTTTGAAGTAGTAGCTGAATTTGCATATTGTGTTTCGATGACCTTCCGGCTTTAAAGGATCTCATTTGAACGTACTATCCTAGCCTGATAAAATCAGGATGCTGAGAAAAATATTTCGACCTGAGACAGAATAAAAAGAAGGTTGCGGGAAATTAGAAAGAGATGGATTGTAATTCATACCCTTCACCAAACATTATTAAGGTAAACATGTAAAGGACAGTAAGATTGGTGGGGCGTGTAACACGGATGGAAAGTGAGAAGCACATATACAAGTGTAGTCGGAAAACGTGACTGGAGAGTCAGTCTACTTACAAGACCTTTGCGTTGATGAGATCAGTATAAATCTCAAAAACAAATGCAGTATTAGAAGTGTGCTGGATATTCTCCAATGGTGGGTGAACTTATTAAAACGGTAATGAATTTAAAATGTCTCGGCGAGGAGTCTCTCGATCAGAGTAGCAGGATTCTGCACCAAGGACTGACATTATGAGTTATGTGTTGCATTTGTTACAGTACGGGTTTGTGAACTACGCACTGGAGTTGCTAGTAGTGAAGACGTTCGGAGAAGAGATATGGGAGAAAATTAAGTAAGTTCAAAAGTATTTTGAATCAGCTGGTAATATATACGGGCTATCTTAGGTGGCGGTTCATGAAAGGTGTCGTAAAATTTATTTTATAAGGTTAATTAACTGTTTGCATCTTTCACCGTACGACTAATAATCCTTGCAACTGACCTATTCGTACTTGTTTCAGATGAATCTTCTATAGGCGTCTTTAATAATATTTGTGAAGAATGCAATTAATCTTCAAACTTTCACACAAAAGAGAATTAACTGTAAAAATCATCTCATGACTTCTTTTACTTTAATTATTCATTGCATTAAAATTTTAGAGAAATAATGCGACAACAAATTTTCTATTTTTATCAATGTGTAGCAGCATAGTGACAAGACTTGTAGGTACCAAATAGTTCGCTCTAGGCTTTAAACTAAATATCTTCGGAATACCAGTATAGTGACTAGCTACGGGCTGGACGACCGGGGTTTGATCCCCGACGGGGGCAGAGGATTTTTCCTCTAGCCTCTGCGTCCAGACCGGCTCTGGGGCCCACCCAGCCTCCTCTACAATGGGTACCGGGGTCCTTTCCCGGGGGTAAAGCCGGCCGGGGCGTGATTCTGACCACTTACCCCCATCTAGTGCCGAGGTCAAGGAAGAGAGGAGCTATACCTCCACTCACCCCAAGCGCCTGTATGGCGTATAGTGGGACAAACTTTACTTTACTTTATATCGGTAGATACAGCTTAGATCATTTTACAAGCAATTTTAGGCAGTTAGCTACAAGAAGTGTGGTGTTTTGTGTTACAGATAAGGCAATCGCAGATGTAAGTAAATTTTCGGAGTTTATTTAACAATGTTAACCAGAAATCAAATCAGAATATTTATAGGCAATAACTACATGATTTGGAACTATGAGAGGATTTGTACAGGAGGCTTATACTCTTCGTAAAGTATTGATAAATTAAAGATTGCTGTCTTCTGGGTTATTGCGCCGTGTAGTCTGGTAGATTTCCACCGACGTTTCAGAGGTCATACTGCCTCCGTCATCAGGGCGATGAATTCACGGTAGTGAAACATAGGCTTACATAAAAGACGAATAATTTCTTGACCAATTTAATGATTCAGCTTTTAAATAAATAATAAACACGATGCTACTTAAATAATGACTTTTTAAAATGTTTAGGAAGGACGCAGAAGTGTGTATGGAAGGCCAGTTCCTGGTCCGTCAGATTTATGAGGATGAAATAACCTACAACCTCATCCACGCAGCTGTAGACGTTTTGCGTAAGTTGACACCAAATGTTTTGTCCGTCTTCACAAATACTTTAATCGATATGGAATAACGTTTCTTATTTCTTAAACTCCAATTTAATCTCATGTTTTGTATGTGTGTGAAACTGGATGTCATTCCGCGGAAAGAATGTAGGCCCAGACAGGTACATTAAGATTTTGATATACCAGAACCGTTCTTCGTCAAATTTTGTAATAACTATGGCAGTTTCTATTTATTAGATATTAATTCCATTTAAATTTATATAAACATTTCCCCTTCTCATCTTCTAGTCACAACATTGATTTGTGTCATTAGAACTGTTGTTATCAACATGACAAACAGTTTCGATTAAGTACGTTTGTTTGTATTTGATTTGCGGCTTTCTCTATTTTAAATTATCTTAATTGAATTTAATCGGATTGCTACTGCAAAAATACTAATACGTTTAACAAGCAATTGGTTTCACTGCAGTATAATTTGAAATATTTTTTTCCTCGCCGCTCACTTGTTGCCTTTGCGTGTTAAACTTCTTTATACGTTTGGCAACTTAGTTATTGCTACTTTGTTGTATTTATTATTTTGTTTTTGTGCTGGGTCTTTAATTTATTGTCTGGCTATTAATACTGCACACTATTATTAATGAATTGAATTATTATTGTAATTTTAGTTTTTGAAAACAAATTGCTGATGAGCATACTTTTAATATTTATTGTAGCAACTTTCATTGCTTATCGAAGACCGACATATATTTATTTTCAATCAGTATTTTAACACGTGCAGTTCTTTTACAGATGAGTTTTGGCATAATGTGTCACAATTAGCACAATTAGACACAACAAACACAACTATTAAGACATCTGCTTGTTATTCAAAAGGGCTAAGCAACTATTGTCAGTCACAAAACAACTGGAGAATTTACTAAACATATTTTAATACGCTCGCTTAATATGATTTAAATATTCATCCATATCACTAATAAAAAGGGATGAAATTTTTACAATATTGTAATTTTACTTGCAATTATGAAACCTTTTCTGATTTTGTTTGTTTATGTACTCCATAAGAAGTACATAAACAAACACAAATAATGTTAACTCCATTTGTTCTCTGTTATAATTATCTTTATTTTCAGAAATTCCGGCCAATTCAATATTGGAACTTTTTGGTAAAACATTCTTTGAATTCTGTCAAGATTCTGGTTACGATAAAATCCTCCAAGTCCTCGGAGCAACTCCGCGGGACTTTCTACAGGTAAGCGGAAATATGCTCATGTCCAGTAACATTACAAAACAACAAATTCTTTAATGGCCACGGGACAAAATTTGTGCCGGCCGGGATTAAAGTACGCTCGCATACTGAGAAGCTCTTTCTACCCATGTAATACAGAACAAAAAAACTTGTTTTATTTGCATGACATCAGAACTTGGACGCCCTGCACGACCACCTGGGTACCCTCTACCCGGGGATGCGAGCCCCTTCGTTCCGTTGCACAGAGCGACCAGAAGATGGGGCCCTGCTTCTGCACTACTATTCGGATCGCCCTGGATTAGAGCACATTGTCATCGGAATAGTGAAGGTCGTTCATCGTTTTTATAACACTTTACGTTTTCGTTGCGTAATTCAGTTCGATAGAGGTCTCTTAAGCTATCAGCCGTCTCAAAGCGAAACGAGTACTCCCAGTTTCAGAAACTGAATTGATCCATCATTGTCTCCTAAACACTAGCAATTAATTCCCAATGAGACAGCTGATCTCCCGAGAAGTTTTCGTTACCACTGTCTTTGTTTCTTGATGCATTTAACGACACTTTTGAAACTCTGTGAAAAGCGATCCCTGTGCCTAAACCCTATCATATAGAAATATAGAGTGAAAGGAGATAGAGTTCTGTGCGTTCTTAACTACGGCATTATATGGTGGTGATACGTCATAGCCACTTTCTTGCCACTTTACCTGTGGCTAAATGGATGTCTACTGTTAACCAGTGGATAATGGCTGTAGTCTTCAAACATGCTTCGACATAATGGCGAACTGAAAACTTAAGACATTATCCAGGTTGTCCAGCCCGCAAGCCATTAACTACTGAGCACGTACCCTTCAACTTATCATTAGACGAAGATGATTGAGAATGATGATATCTAAAGGACGTCTCCTACCTAGCTGTAGGTACGAAAATTAAATTAATGATTAAGGGTCAAAATACGTGCATAACATCCATAACAGCGTACTTGCTTTTTTAACTACAATAAAGTCATAACTATGTATATGACAAAAATTCGTAAATGGTCGCAAATGCGTAATAAATAGGACCACGGATTATGCTTTTGACTGTGAGTGTGTTATGAGCTTCCAGAGGCGGAAACATATTCTATTTTCCAAGCATTGCTACTATTAGCATGTTTGAAATATATCTGATATTGGGGGTGAAACGTTAAAATAAGAGGGATGGACATGAAATACGGGAGAAAAGTAAGGGAACAGAGGCACGAAAAGAAGATGGAAACTGAAAAAGATGTTAAGGGGTGATAATGTAATAACTATTTACCCAATGAATTTCATGGGGAATTTTGCACTAGTTAATAGGATCTTAGAATTCTCGCGAACTGTAACGTTCCTGAATTTGTTCTAAATAAAACAGAATCTTAATCTCTTTTAACAAATTAAAGAAGTTATAAATACAATTTAAATACTGACAGGAGATAATTAGCTCATATAAAGGTTCAGTGTAAGATGAAATGGTTAATACATAAATAAAATGTCATTACAATACACCATTTTTGGTTCAGACGGTGGCGAGCAAACTGCATGGAACAGAGGTCGAAGTTAAGATTCTGAAGACCAAGGAAGAGTGTGACCACGCCCAATTCCTCATCACAGAGTTATGTGGTCCAGGGAAAGCCTCTCGACCAGAAGTTACTCAGATTGAGACACTCTCTATAGGTAACTCGCAATTATTTATGATAAGAACATGTTCACATGATTATGTTATTTGTAACATGATGTATGTACAGTACATCCTTCCCGAAATAAGAATCAAGAAGCTGATGAAATGGCAAACTTTCCCAACCTTATATGTTTCAATCTATTGACTGATTCTGTGAATGATGAATTGGAAAGGATTAGGTTTCAAGCAGTTGTGGCGTAATTTAAAATGTTATTCCAACAGTTCTCTGGAGGGAGTAAAATTTTCTGCTATGTAATCAGGCAATTATCGAATGTAACACAAGATATTTGAAAGATATTCTTATGCAACCATAAACCTAGAACAAATTACGTATCAACAATTGAAGCAGGGATAAATCTAAAGTCCGGTTATTATATTCATTTGCATTTGCACTAGTTCAGATGCCCACCATAATGTTTCGAGGAACCTTCAAAATTTAAGGTGATTTAAATGTGAATTGGACAAAGTTAGTAAACATATCGTGCCAAGATATTGGACGACAGTCTGAAGATTGTGGGAATTGTGCAGAGCCCAAGGTGAGCCCGGCCACATTCTGTCGTGTGTTCCCGTTCCACCTGATGTTCGACAGCGATCTCAAGGTCGTACAGACCGGCAGCACAATAGCTAGGGTCATGCCGCGGGTCAGGAGACCCGGGTGTCGCGTCACCGACATTCTGGACACGGTCAGTTGCTATTTTACACGTTTGGTAACCGCGCTAGCATGTGTACGACTGTGTGTGTCTACGTGTATGCAAGCCTAAAGTATGTACGCCCTGTGTAAATAAATACGTTCGTGTGCATGCATAGCCTATATGTACGTAGACTATAAGTATGTTTGGTTTATTTGTCTTTAACAAAGCTGTATCAATCAGATAGAAACATAATTTTGAGTCAATTGAATAAAAATTTTCTTGGATATTATCCATCGTCTAGTAAATATAAAACGTAAAACGACGTTTCGGAGATAGGGATTAGCTCTATCTAGTGGGCCCAACTGTGTAGGAACCTGAAGACGGAGATAGAGTCCCATCTCCGAAACGTCGTTTTACGTTTTATATTTACTAGACGATGGAAGGTCCGGAGATAGGGATTAGCTCTATCTAGTGGTCCCAACTGATCGTCAAGAAGTTTTAGATCTGATATAATTTTGAGGGATTAGAATTGCCTGTTTATTAACCCTCTAGTTATAATTGTACATTCACAGAACTTTAAGGAACTATTATAACATTTAGCATGAATAAATTTACTAAAATCTTGAAAAATGTGAGTGAGCTTTATCCAGGATCCGGGCCGAGAACCGGATCTTGAACCGTCCAAGTACGATTCTGGGGTTACAACGTGAACCGCTGAGTCCGGTAAGTATATGCCTTATGTACTGCACGTAAGCACACTGCAATTCATGATGCACATCTGCAAAGTACCTGCTACGTCTCTCTCTCTCTCTCTCTCACCCCTGAATGCCGACTGATGTACAAATAAAGATTTGGTTGTTCCGTAATTTGGTTCCTTCTGCTTTTTTCGTGTAGTTTAACGCATTTCCTCTTCAGAGCCCCCAGTGGTAGTAGATGTACCATTCACTTTAACATTCACTAACTATTAATTTTGGGGTTTTGATATGATTTTCAGAATAAACAGCGATTTCTCCCTAAACAGTATCAACCTGTTATTTTATAATGGAGACGTGCTGTGTTTCCTTGGAGGTAGGAAATGACATTTTAAGTAATATTAGATGAGCTTCGTGCATCAAAGAATTATTATTACTGTTCGTAATGAAAAATCAACGGATGCATTATAATTAGCATTATTTTTAAATGCTAGGCATAGATGACAAATAATTCTCCCTGTTAAAGCCTACAAGTTGTATGCAGTCAAATGCCATGTACACGTGCTATAAACATCCACAAATCCCGAATTCTGTCTTTTAGAAAAGAGGTAATTTCAGATGCAAAACAACAAAAGAGTTAAACATTATTAATCCAACGTTAATTCCTTAATTAAAATCTGCATCATGTCTGTGGTTTCGTACTATGTCAATTGTCTATTAGGGAAATGATAAATATGAAGTAATAGTACTGGCGCTTTGAAATGAAAGGTAAGAGATTTCACAATGTAGATAAAAAAAATATTTCTCATTAACATTAATGGGTGGTTACAATTTATTATCTTTGTGTAGGTAAGACCACACTTAGAACTCACGTTCCAAAACATTCTGTCTCACATCAACACCGTGTACGTGCTAAAAACGAAGCCCGGGGTCATGGAAGCCGAGCATCAGGATGGCGCACCAGAATTCTCTTACCTCAGACTAAAGGTACATTCTGTTTACTAAAATCTTGAAATTACAACGGGTCGTTTACTTCATTCTTCAACTTACCTTTTGATCAGATTAATAATTTATTAAAGCGTCTATGAAACTAATGTAAATACGTAGAACTGAGCATATAACGACAAATGTTGACCGTCCATTCGCCAACTGCTAAAGAAGTTCATCAAAGACCAATAATTTAATAATCGGCTGAGACCTGTCATTTTACGGAAGCAGCCAACCATTTCTTAACGTTTTACTTTCACGTCTTGACAGTATTCTCAGCTTAGTGTTCAATTTAACGCGTGTGGTTCTTTTAAAATGGAGTCACTGCAGACCTATCAAACTAAACGGTCTATAGTGTGACGCTGCACTCTCGTTTTCTCAGGATAATGCCAAAGGATTAGGTGCTGTAGCTTAAAACTCTTGGCTACAAAGATTTTAATAATGGCAGTGTGGGTGTCTCTTGATGGACGTGCGTACAATTACAATATGATCAAATGACAATCATACATCGTGACATCCTTCAAATCAACACGTAAAAATAATTATTGAAAATGTGTTCACCGGAGCCAAACAGCAGGTCACGCCTAATTCGAGTCATCGTTCCGCCAGCGTTCGTCTTTTATTGCTTCCTCTCGTACGTTACATCCACCCGTGATCAGGCCAACCAGCAGAGCCCACATGATCCGGTAGCCAGACAATGTCTTTGGTCAGCAGGCATATATTTATAAAATAGCCTTGACTGACCACGTGTCAAGGCTTACACACAGTCCAACTGGCTGAATATCGCAGTTGCGTATAAGTAAAGTATTAAAACGTGAAATAAATTGGTCCAGCAGTCCCATTATGTGGTGGATTCGATCCCCGATAAGGAAATTCAGAAATCTGCTGTCTGTCCAGAGGGTTTCGCTCTCACAAGGCCTCCACAAGCTCTTCTTCTATTAAAGGCTATGGGTAAATATGTCCGCGACCCGGAAGCTACCTTCGATAAACACTCAATTCAAGCCGATGCAATGTTCTACGCACCCTTAAACTTGTTAAAAGGTAGAGTCGTGGCTAGCTCGGCGCTCCGGCTGCTTTACCTCTGTGCCACGTGAGGAGGAAGCTGAGTGGACCGCGAAATCTGCTGGAGTGTATGGAAAAAGGAAATGCATTCCTCTACCCGTAGTCAAACTCCGGCTGTCTACCTATTGGCCAGACAATTTTATGTGAAATTTTGGCTAATAAAGTATGAAGAGGTACGCATTCAGTGGATTGACGTAAATACGTAGGTGTATGGAAATAGATTTATTGTTCTGCACTTTATTAGTACGCATAAATTTACGAACTATATCCCACTACTTTCATTCATTTTAATATCTTCGGCATAATTCCATCCACTCCTTTGTCTCACACGTGATCCCTTGCCTTCAAGATCTTTCGCCTAGAACGTTGAATTCAGTAGGACCCATACATAGACTTCAACGAAGACCACTTTTATTTGAAATACGTTTTTGTGTTAATCTAGACGTAGAAGACAAATTACAGAACTGACAGAATCATTACTTTTGTCCTTAGGGGCAGATGCTGTATATCCCTGAATCAGAATTGGTTATCTTCCTGTGCTATCCAAGCGTCATGAATCTGGATGACCTGACAAGGTGAGTGAAATATTCAGATTTCTGTAATGTGATATTAGCAAGGAAGCCTGAGGAGTTAGTTATCACAAGAAGTAGGCATTACGTTCGTCGTAAACGTTGGTATCTACAAATCCACACACTGCTACAACCCAGAACAACACCGACAATGTATTCCTCCTTACAACCACTTCTGTTTCATTACACAATCCATGACAGAGTATCTGAATAAGAAAGAATACTGTTATTCGCAGTTTAATCGAGGATCACACAGACACATTAATCTTACTTCTAAACTGTGAAAATGACAAGAAATGCATCAGAAAGGAATACAAAGCCGGGTTCTTGTGGTAACATTCGTAAACCCTTTCTTCCGTAACAAATACGAAATTATGTGTACAGTTACTGAGTGTTCTAGTGACACTCTGAATGTTTCAGACGCGGTCTCTACATAAGCGACATCCCTCTTCACGACGCGACAAGGGACCTAGTGCTAATGTCTGAGCAGTTCGAAGCAGACTACAAGCTGACTCGAAATCTGGAGCTCCTCACAGACAAGCTGCAACAGACATATCGCGAGCTGGAAGGGGAAAAGCAGAAGACAGACAGGTTGAAGGAATTATCTGTATCGATTCTTAGGTTATTCACAGACACATATTGTCGAACAAAATGAGAGGATAATTGTACATATTCACTGATATTCATACTAATCACTTTCCGCGAATAGCATTTTTGTGATAAATTTGCAGTCTTACTTAGACCCATTTACATACAGCCAGGCATATTTTTGGCAGGTAGAGTACTATTTTTTGTGCAGGTACACATATGTTTAAGTTTTTCCTTAAGTGTACCACAAAACCCCTGCACAACTTGGCATTATTTAAAACCTTCTAAACATCGATCTTGTGGTAAGGCGTTTGCTTCCTTACTCTCAATCACACTGTTTGTTACGTATTAAATTATCTTACCAGGTGTTAGATAGATAATTTGGAAATTAAATTTTCTGCATTTGCATATAGCAGTAAACGCTGAAAATGCTCCTAACCATCACACAAGCACTAACAGAATCTCAAGACTGCATTAATACAGTCTGTGATACAGACGAAATTCGAACCACGTACCTGCCTAGTACAAATCTAGACAGTGTAGCTACACCAATCTGCTAGATATTATCCTGCTTCATCATATCTGAGCTCGTCTCATGCGTTGAATACTGTTGCGCAGGGGGCCATATTACAGGTTCCAAAACCTGTCTGGCTCGCAGTCAAATTTTAACAATACAATTTATATACCTTATATACAGCGTGATTCTCTCGCCAAACGCCCTTGACGTCGGGCAATAAAGCCGCCATATATACACCGATTGTGACCAAATGATGCAGGTACACACCTCGGTCCTTGAGAAGCTGCATCCCGTCACGTAATATCTGGTTAGTTAGCTAGTGTTAAGGTGCCCACTATTAGTAAGCTAGTTAAGTCCAGGTACTTTGTAATACTTCGTTTGCTTATGTTTTGTACCAACTGCTATCCTTCATAATTTCAACTCATCTTGACATCAGCCTTTTCGAACCATAATAAGATTCTTTATAATCTAGGACCATGATCGTTTCCTGCTACCTGTTATCGTTCACGTCACGTTGTGTGCCTTACTTATCAACATACATTAATGTGTTTCTACTGTATTACAGCCAGTGTAGAACCATGATCTTTCTATCTTGCTTGATATCCACGTAACTATTCTACTGTCCCTTATTCCTTCCGTCTGTGGTTAATTCCGTATAATCATAAGGCAGAAATGCCCAGGTCTATGTCAGAATAAGTTACACACGTAAATAAAAACATCTGGTAACAGATGCAAGTAAATCAGTTCCCTCAAGCTACTCATAATGAAAGGTCATTATGAAGTAATACTCCAGCTAAATTTTGTGTATCCCTAAAACCCACAGATTGCTCTATTCTGTGCTGCCGATCAGTGTAGCCAATGAACTAAGACACAAGCGTCCGGTTCCAGCACGACGATACGATTGTGTGACACTCCTCTTCTCCGGAATTGTTGGGTTCAGTGACTACTGTGCCACAAACACAGATTCCAGGGGGGCTATGAAGATCGTTCGCATGCTCAATCAGCTGTACACAGCCTTTGATGTCCTCACAGACCCCAAGAAGAACCCAAACGCCTACAAGGTACGTTTTGCTGATTCTTGGTTCATTTCACGACATTTTTCCAAATACATATGTTATAAATGAAGGATAAAATTAAATAAATGTGGTTGGTAGTTCGGACTTCCAACACAGTAAGAAACAACGAACAGTTAAAAGTTTCTTGTTAACAATGTTTGTGTATTATAAAAGAACATAAGGTTATTAAGGATCTCTACTTCCATGAAAAGTATGAAAGATTTATGACAGTAATATTGTTTGCGCATTTAATTTGTAATATCCTCCGTATGCAATGATAATGGACCAAGTATTTGTAAAAGAAGTATAATGCTTAATTGCTAATGAAAAACTTTCTGATTATTTAGTTATTCACAAAATGGCGCCACTGAAACCTACCCTGCGTCAATGTCTTCCTAGATATGTTTTCTTTTAAAGTGTCCTTATTAAAATTTTGTATTAATTTCTCATAGTTACCATGCGTGCAAAATGTCGTCCATCTCACATTTCTTAATTTATTAACTGTAATAACACAAACCTTTGAAAATAATTGCTATAGCAATATTTTTTAAAAAACAAGTACATAATATCAAATCGCGGTCTAATTGCAGGATATCCTTAGGAGGATGTGTGTGATTTTCTTCAGTCTCTCAGTGTGTTTCCTTGACATAGTAACAGATCACAAACGTCTACTATTTCCTCGCCATTTTAATCAATATTCTAATTTGGTTAGATATATGGCCATTACAATCGCTAATAACCTAAGAATCGATAAAAAAAGCTATTTAAAAAGGGATGAACCAGTTTTCCAATTCATTTACTGTGAGCATTTAGTTCTTCTTGGAAATTTTTATGAGCAGGTGGAGACGGTAGGGGACAAGTACATGGCTGTGAGTGGTCTGCCCGAGCCTTGCCAGACGCACGCCCGTTGCATAGCGCGTCTTGCCCTGGACATGATGGACCTGGGGAGAGAAGTTCAAGTAGACGGCGAACAAGTAGTAAGTTTAACTATCGCAGGATTCTTTTGGGTTGAGGCTGAAACCATATGTACTACGACTTTAAATAATCCTAATGTGCAAATTCTCTGATTATGATCAAGATGGATCGGTATGTGGTGTGAGAAAAATCTGCCTAAAAGTGACATTTTCTCAATACAAAACACACTAAGACTTTTCTGAGGTTGAATTTTGGCCTCAGCAGTAATAATCCTGCATCTGACGGCTTCCGGATGAAGCCGTTTAAGTTCCACAAGAAAACTCGTATACCAATCGCTGTTGCTCACCGGAGGATTCTGTACCTTTTAAATAAATCAGAATAGCCTTCATTTATTTATTTTCCCTTGTACTAACTTCCTGGTGGCAACTTTATATTTCTCGCAGAGGATAACGATTGGAATCCATTCCGGCGAAGTGGTAACAGGAGTGATCGGACACCGAATGCCACGCTACTGCCTCTTCGGCAACACTGTGAACCTCACAAGTCGCACAGAAACTACGGGCGAACCTGGCCGAATCAACGTATCTGAAGATGCTTACAGGTCAGTATTCGTATAAGTTAAGATGAGAAATGTTTGGGGGAAAAGATCGCTGTTAGACTGTAAAGGAGGGTAAGTCGTAGGCAAAATCTTAGGTCAAAATTCACAAAGTACTAACTTCAAAGTTTAACGTTATTTGATATGAGGACCACACATGCTATGGTTTTAAGCTGAAGTGCACATATGAGAGAAATATAGGATACAACAGTCTGAAGTTTTATTAGTAATTATAAATAAATTAAACGTAGTTGTCAGTTAATATCCCACTCTCATTAATTCTTTCTGAATACACTTATCACAATCTACTAATTTTCATAAAATAGTACAGAAATTATTCAAGCAAAAGTGTATTCAATGTAAAACAGATTCTTAAACACAAACAAACGAGAGACGAAACTGTCAACAGTGTGTGCCGTACGTATTTTTTGTACAACTCGACACATGACAACGAACACGGGACACGAGTGTAGCCCTTACTCAGTCTTCTAAAAGGTCCAAGTAATTCTGAAGGCTTAATGGTATTTTTAGGCTCCTGATACCCAGCGGTAACTGCCAGTTATCTCGAAGAACATTCCTAATGACACAGCGACTCAAATGCTTCAGTTCGGGCGGCGTCAACTGCGATCGTGAGGGTGGTATTATTCCCTCCTGCAGGAGTCTTGGATGGAAGTAAAATTTGTTCATTCCAAGCGCATTCCTAGTGGCAACCAAGAATGGCATATTCAGGTCGACCACACCAGACGGAAATGCTGTCATTGTGGACACTGTGCGAAGCAAAATTTTTAAACAGGCTAAAGATTTTGCTGTTTGATTTAAGTGGTAACTGGAAACAACACAGAATGCGAAAGGCTGCCTTGACTGTTGTCCCGTCAGCATTTCATCGGTTTCGTACTCAGTCAACATATCGGCGCCATATCGCAACAAGAGAAGCAATACTTCGGCTTCTGAAAATTCAGCAGCGATACGAGCCGACGTGGCTCGTCTGTAAGATTCCAGAGGAATGTCAATAAATCTAATTTTCTTGCCGTTCTTTAAATTATCGTACTCAAGTTTTGCTTTTGTCGCATGCTTCAAGAAGTATTCAATGGCTGCAAGATTCTCTTCATAACTTTCAAAATCACTCTTCCATCCTGATATTACGTGCGTTGCCCGATTCCCAAAAATAGCACCTACGAAGAGACGTTCAAAAGTGCGTTCGCATTGAAAAATGTTGTTTAGGAGTTGAATAACTATTGAATTATCGTCGAGATTCCAATCAGAGCAGAGTTTAACCGCAATGTAAAGGATATTATGATACCTGCCCATGTTACAAAGTCTTTCACCGGAGTTTCCGGAATTCGCATGATACCGTATGGCTGCCATAACAGCACGACGAACTTCCGCTGCTTCGTCGCAGTCTTTACTGCGAGCACGCTCTTTAATCGCGGTGTTCAGGCGGTCCACAAGCTGCCGACGTTTATAACGCACCATTAAGTACCTTGGTTCCATTTGGCTAAGCATGTTTTCAAAGAAGCACTCCGGGAACACATCCATGAGGAGCTTAGCTTGTTGCAAACTTGCAATAATTTAAGTTTACCGCCTTGTGGCCTGAATGCTGTCAATGGTAATATAGTACCAGCTACAAATACCACTGAGAAAATTTTACGAGCTCACCAAAATAAGACATTTCTTGACGCTTTATCGAACATACAAAATTTCTGAAAAATTGTACAAATTAGATGTTCGTTATATTCAATAATCACTGTCCTGATGATAATCACAATCATATGAAATAGCACAACATAAGGAAACCGACAAATACTAATTACCGGAACAAGTATGACTCGAATTTCAAATCACATTTCCATAGATACGGCTGGTAATTTCGGTATAACAGAATACGAATATGTGACTTGGAGAACAGAAACCAGCTCGACTAGAATTACCGTAATGAGATTTTTTCTCTCTTATGGCTTCTTTCACATCACGTGGTCATCTTCGACTATAAGTATATAATCCAGTTTCACACAATCCTAAGAATGTCAAACAGTGCGTTTATATCTTATAACATTTTAAATACGATTTAGAGTGTACGAGAACGCGGAGCTTTGGAGAATATTTTGCTTTGAAAGGATGAAGATAGATGGTAAGACACTAAAATGAATCCTGGTGAAGTAGGGTTGAAAAGTGCGGAATGAATTAATTTTGCTCGGAATAGGGAAAGGTAGCGAACTCTTGTGAACACGGTAATGAGTCCTCGGGTTCCATATGACAGACACCTTAACACTTTGACATTACCACCTCCTCAAGAATCAGTCTTCTCCACGGAGTTACATATTTAAACGCATTTATTATTAATGAATGAGACAGTTGCCTTTCAGCTCAATCACAGATCCATAAAGGCGCTTATCTGTCGTAAAGCTTCATGTATTATAGCCCTCTGCACTGGGTATAAGTGACTGATTAGCTTCATATTCGGGGACCGTATCCCCGGGCAAAGAACCCCAGTACCCACTGGATAGGATGGAGGCTTAACTGTAGAAGATTGTTAAAAATATATACATCAGGTAACTCGGGAATGTTCTCATTTGCAGGTACTTGTGTCGGCCAAGCAACGCTGACCCACAATTTCATTTCGAGTACCGAGGACCAGTGACCATGAAGGGGAAATCGGAACCAATGAAAGTGTGGTTCCTTACAAGGGAGAAAGAATACATCGTTTGAATTCACTGGCCGAAAGTTTTTCTGCGTCTGTTCTCTGACGAGAACGCAACCATATACCAAAGACTTCTGTGTACAAACTAATTAGATAATGAAGTTTAAAACTTATTTCTTAGGTTATTATGTGTCACACTCTCCAGAATAAATAATAGGCCGTTCACACATTTCCTATAGGTTCATTAGATACTAATTGTTACAAAAATAACAACGTATTTTCACGTACACATGGGAAGTTAACATCACAATGCAAGCCAGCTGTTACTGATCCAATATCAGAAGAAGCCAAGCATTGAATCGGGCTGTAGAGACAATGAAGAATGTATTAGAAAGAACCTGAAGTAAGTGAACCAATATGGACGAGTTGCGAATAAATTGGCAAACTTTCAACACATATTAATACGTATAGAATAAATAAAACTGTAATAATATTAAACAACAAAATTTAATCCCATTCTGTTAAATTACAATCCTGTTTATTACACCACAGTGAAGCTAGTTTTGAGTCGCTCTGTTTGTATAAATACAATAAACATTATCTATGTGCCACAAAATAAAGAATGTCGATTTACATTCCTGTAGAACATTTAACATTTAACGTCATCCTCCTCTCTTCATCTCTTCTTTGTCTTTCCAGTATTTATTTCTAATCCACTAGCATATTTAACCGTTAAGAAAATTTAATTTACAAAATTCAAGAAAAAATATTTTACTTTTAGCAATATAATGGGTTATATACGCAGAAAGAATAATAATATTAAAAGGGACCTTATAAAAAGGACGTGGACTCGAACAGATCCACTGGGGGGGGGGTGTTCGGTGAATATGCTAATGAGCTTTCCAGTCCCAAGAAATAGACGTATTTCCAGGTTTCCCTTCCCAAGGGCTTCGGTCCATGATATCAGCATCCCAAAGATATCTAACAGATTGCGCTGTAAGTTCAGACTAGTGCGCCATCTTTGGAGTCCCATACAAAGACGACACCACTAACGATTTCACAAACGTCTAACGTTTACTACGTATCGGTCGGTAAACTAGTAGTTTTATTTATCTCGACGTTTTAATTACGTATACGTACCTGTTTACAGGACTTTATACTTAGCACACCACTGAGACAAACAACTGCAGAACTCGGTGCGTCCTTAAAGGGTTAAAATTTCAATGCTCCGTTCATTTTAGAGAGAACAAAATGAGGGCTTAACACCGCACAGCATAAATTAGAATTTTTACTTGTTAGAGACACCTCAAAATTGCATTCGCCTTGAACCATATCTCCGTGTGTAACCTACCAAGTGATTCTGCAATTAATCGCCTATAAGGTCGTTAGTAAATTATTATAGTAGTAGATTACTGACTCTGTAGGCTATTTAACGACGCTGTATCAACTATGATGTTAAATGTGTTGAAGAACTAAATATGAAGGCAGAGAGCGGTGCTGGCGTATTTCAAGAAACGTGGGATTGAGCCAAACAACGAAATTGGATTTGCAACTTTTTCCACACTACAATTTTTTTTTTTACTCTAAAGTTGCCTTACAGGAAGAAAGCAGGTAACGTTATAAATACATAAACAGCCATGCAGTATTTATCTCATCCGTCGGAAAGTGCAACGATATGATGACGTCAGAACCATTGGGCCCATGTAATTTGTATTCAGAAAATCCATCCATGAAAATGTTTCCAGCGTACCAACATAGCCAGGAATATATAAGACCTGTGATAACAAACACTGCTGTGTATTTGGTTCCCATAATGCAGCACAATTAGCGAAGGAACGAGAAACTGCTGTCAAGGGCAAACGTCGCGAAACGTTCGTTTGGCCGCTCCATTTCAATGACAGTTGATAAAAGAAGAGATACGAATGCACAAGATTGGCACTGTGGAAAGCTATGATTATCAGTTCCCATTCAACGCAAGGCGATAATTAAATTTGCAAGAAATTTTGTTTGGAATAAAATGTACACAACGAGAAAAAGCAATCTTAATTGTGACCACAACTTATGTTTGGGATGTTTTTCGCTTCAATTAATTACAAATCATAAACATTAATTTGAAGACAATATGAAGGTGAAAATTTCAAATCTTACATAATTTGAATTTTGCTCTCACAATAAACAGACAGTAAGGATAAGAGTACCTCATAAATCGTTTGGAAATGTGATGGTAAAGTTCAGATGCATGGGAACTACAGTCACACACCAAAATTGTTACTTCATTTTTCTTGTTTATCTGTGCCCCAGTGTTGTAACCCAAAGCTGAAACTCTTGTCATTTCTGTCTACACTGACTGAAGAAATTATTTGCCCACCAACGATAGTGATAAATTTCTTTATTTCCCTTCGTCACATTTTATGATCTTCGCCAGTCTGATGCTGTAAGATTAGCCTTATAACAGTTTTATAACCACTCACAAAGAACTCCAATATCTGATATCTCCTGCTATTAATTTCAAGTGAGCTGCTATCTCTACCATAATTTTATCTTTTTTGTCTTGCAATCAATTAAGTTCGGGCCATCTTGATATATTAGTAAATAAGTGGACTAATTAAGAACTAAGAAACAGCAGTTAAATAACAATAGCATCTAAGTACATAATACCAGGCACTGTGTAATGTTTCTGATGAAGACACATAACAGCAAAATCGAAACAGAAACAAAGCAGGTCACTACCCATTTCGGCTTTCGGTTACACTACTGGATATCCTGAATACATTTTTTCGCAAATTATCCGAGATTCTGCTGACGAATTTCGGATAATAATTGTAATATTTAAAATAAAGTTAAGGTTGATCCTGTACTTCAGAACCGCTTCATGAAGATGTATGAGAAGTGAAAGTAAGCTTATATCTGCACGCATTGTTAACTTCGGGG